GCTGAGCTAAATCCCCAGCCCCCAGGCTATAGGTTTTTAAATGAACACTTTTTTGCAGAATTTAGTCCACTAAAATATTTTGTGTTACACATGTTACAAGAATGACAGGGATTCAATCCAGAAGGAATTGCAGGTATACACTAGATAGTGATTTTAGTTGGATGATTAAATCGCTGTTCATGGATTTCCATGCTAGGAATCAGACACTTCTCAAGAGACCTCTGGGCTTGAGAGCGCCATGACGAAGGTAGCCAGGCACCTTCTCTGCCACAAGCTGACTTGTAAAGACATTGGAGTCACACAGCCCCTGTTTCTCTAGACCTGTATGTAAGACAGTGACACTGGCCAGAGGCGTTTGCTGAGATCTCTGCAGTTCTGAAAAGCTCAGGAACTGGTGTTAGATGCAGCATCACTCAAGAAGCATGGGAAGCCGGGCATGGTAGTGTACCCTGGTCCCAGCACTCGGGAGGCTAAAGCAGGAGGATCGCTGTGAGTTGGAGGGCAGCCTGAAGTACATAGTGAGACCCTGTTTAAAACAACAAAAAAACATAGGAGACCAGTGGTGTCAGTGCTGAAAGTCAGAATTCTGTCCCACCGTGTTGCTGTATTGACGTTTTCACACCAGGCTCATTCCTGATGCATCTCTGTGTCCACGGTGAGAAAGGACATTCTCAGTTGTATGTACTAAACCAGTGGGGATCGTTGTTCTACTTTCTAGTTCTTCTCAAATGCTTCTAAATAAAACACATGCTTTTCTAAAAACCGTGTTTCCTACTGTTTTCAGCCTGTGCCTTCATTGTGATTTCATCTCACGTCTACATTTCATTTCTGACTGCTGTACTTTATCTCCTAGATAGACAAGAGACTGGAACATGTGTCCTATCACAGCAGCGTGGTCCACATCCCGCTTATACCCAGCTCCCCCCAGTCCGCATAAAGGTCTTAATCAGTTTGATGTTATAGAGAATGTGTGTAGGGACAAAGAAACCTATAAAATCTGTTTTTAAACTGGGTGTGATGGTGCACACCTGTCATCCCAGCATAGCACTTGGGAGTTTGAGGCAGGAAGAGCACAACTTCAAACCCAGCCTCAGTAACTTAGGCACTTAGTAAGACCCTGTCTCACAGTAATAAAGGACCAAGTAGGTAGTTCAGTGCAAAGGCCCTGGGTTCACTCTCCAGCAAATTTATCTGTAGAGTTATTTTTTAAGTCTTGAACATCATTTCTCTTTGTTTTAAGAAGTCAGATGTCAGGCTCTTAGTGTTTTACACGTCAAATGTGGGTTATTAGTGTGAGCTCTGGATGATACTGCAGTTCTTTAATATGGCATGTTGCTCGTGTAAGGGTGGGGCCCAGCGCCTGTGAAGCAGCTCCAGCATCAGCCCTGGACTGCCCTGGCTTGATGACACTTGGTACTTGCAGATGGCCTTGGTTGGGTGTGCAGTTTTTGTGATGTTAGGCTGTTTTGTGAAGTGTACCTTGTCTTCAGTGTATAGCTGGGGACTTGGGGTTATTTTATGTTTTATATATGTATAATTGAATGAATATTTGCTCACTGCACTTGTTTTCACTTTACCTCATTTCTTTTCAGGCTTCTCTACAGTTTAGCCTTCAATGCCAGATTTCTGCGGCACCTTTGGTTTCTTATTTCTTCCATGACAACGCGGATGATCACAGGGTAAGTGTTACAGATGCGCCGAAGGGGCCTCACAAAAGAACGTTCTGAGCTTATGTTATATTAGGAAACAATCCTGAATAGCCTGAACTTCTTGAAAAATTAATTCTGAGTATGGCTTTATCTGAAGGTAAATGTTTTTCAGTTGTTGTCATTTGAAAGACTTTGTTCCATTTGATATTACTACCGTAAGCTTTTGACAGTGAGAATAGAGTTGAAGCAAGTTTAACCACATTATAAACATTAAAACTGTGGAAGCCTCATGTGGTGCCATGTTCCTGTGTACCACTACTTGGAAGGGTGAGACAGGAGAATCATGAGTCCCAGGTGGGCCTGGACAGCATAGTAAGACCCTGTTCAAACTTTTTTTGGCTAGTGTAGTAGTTGATTTTTAAACTTTGTTGAAATGATTTGATTTCCCACATAAGAATCATTATATAACCTAAAAGTCTGCATCTTTATATACATTTTTTTTATTGAATCCATAACAGGTACAAATGTCACATTTAAAAATCTTTCCAGGACAAGCTGGGCATGGTGGCACACACCTGTAATCCCAGCACTCAGGAGGCTGAGGCAGGAGGATTGCTACAAGTTTGAGGCCAGCTTGGGCTACAAAATGAGTTCAAGCCCAACCTGAACTGCACAGTGAGACCCCATCTCAAAAGGACAAAAAAAAAAATCTGTCCTGGAAAACTGACTGAGCCCACTGCTGCACAGTAGTGTGTGACTTTTCTCCTCAGTCCGCAGTCTGAACTAATCCCACAGTATTGTGATATTCCAAGACAAAGAGCTGAACTCTCTTCACTGGACCCTGAGTTGCAGCTGCCTGTCCTGCTTATCGTCTTGTAAGGACAACGGTCACAGACCACATGCTAGGGGCCAGGCCGTCCTGCTCCGGGACGGCCTCTCTTGGTGCAGGGCAGGAGGACAGGCGGTTGGAAGAGAGGGTATTTGTGGGTCACATGTCCAGAATTTAGGCTTGCACTTGCCTGTCCTGTGGTTGGATATGCGGTGGAGAATATGCGTCAGGTGTACAGGACATGAGGGAGGTGAGCTGTGTGGTGTGGCAGGTGTGGAGTGCTTACCTGAGCATGAGGTGGCAGGGTTGATCCAGGCAGCGCGGCACATAGACACCTTCTCATGCCGGTGCCCTTTTGTTGGTCACGGTTCTCCACCCTTTGTGCACTGAAGCATGGTTCAGATCATCTGCCTACGACCACCTCTAAGTACAGGGGAGAATGTCAGCTTAAGGACAGTTTCCTTGGGTTATTTTTGTGATTTTCATTGAATCTGAATGAACTTTAGTGAGTAAAGAGGAACATTTTGCGGTGCCCCTATAGCTGGTGAGATTCAAAGGCTGCATGATTTCTCTTGAATCCACAGTCACCTAGAAGAACTTGATATCTAGAAAAGTCATATGTAGAATAAAAGCCTGGGCTGTATTCTATTGTGTTGTGGTTTGGGGGCACTTTGGCCACATCTGACTGTACCAGTGTTGCTTTCACTGGTGACAGGTGTACTTAGGGTGACGGGAGATTGAGATCATTAAGACAGGAAATTATCATTTACCTGTGAGTACTCCAGCTTAGCAACGGGGACACTGCCATGGTCTGCCTGGTGATTGCTTCTTTCTTTATGGCATTTGTCTCTTAGTAAGGAAATGGAGTCATGATGTGTGAAAGAAAAATGAGATATTGTTAATTATGTTCAATTATTAATATTGCATAAGGTGATAAAGACATACAGGTTTTTGGAAGCCTTATTTCTCAAACAGCAGTTGAGAATTTGTGTTTCTTTTTACTTGTTCAATTTACTGAAACAAAATCTCTGAAGAAACTTCTAGTATGTCGATGCATTTGTAATGTGTGTCTGATCATATTTACTGTTGGGAAAAAAATTTAAGTTGAAGTGCCGGGCGGAGTGTGATGGTGCACATCTGTAATCCCAGCACTTGAAAGACTGAAGCAGGAGGATCTCCATGAGTTCGAGGCCAGCCCAGGCCTGGGCTGCATCGTAAGTTCATGGCTAGCCTGAGCTACATAGTGAGATCCTATCTCAAAAAAACAAACAAAATAATTGCAGTGCCCGATTGCTTGCAAATAGAAGTGAATTTAATTCAAAGATGGTTTCACAGCCAGACTTGTAGCTGGCACTCTTAGCTCTGGGGAGTAAAAGCGTCACTAAGGGGACATGTCGAAATTTAAATTCCTCGGTTCCTCACCACAGACATACAAGGCTGCCTAACTCTCTCCAGGTGGGTGGCAGGCAGCTGTTTGGGTGCATCAGACATTCTGAAAGTGATGTTTTGGTTGATGTACTTCATTTTCAAAATTTGCTGTTGGAATAGGGTGGTTCTGTGTCCTTGTTGAAGTAAAGGGAACTCCCAGCCAGCTGGTTACTATTCCCTGTTAGGCATCCACTTTCCTGAACATAACCCACAGGTGCTGTGCCCACGTGGGACCTGCAGGTGCAGGACATCACCCTCCTGGAGGAGGCTCGTGGCGGGGGCAGGAAGCTGTGGTGTGTAGCAGGCTAGAGGGGTCCCCATAGAGTACGCGCCCTCCTGCCAGGGTTGGTCTCTCATGCTTAGTACTCCAGCCAACTTCCCAGAGTTGCAGACCGGTTTTCTGTTGCAGGTAATGATGAACTTCTCATTTGATTCTGAGTCTGAGGTTGTGCTGTTTCTCGAGGAATGTTTGAGTAGGTGCGTAGAGCCAGCGGTGTGGCCAGCAGAGCTCCGGAGGCCTGTTCCGTTTGTCTGGCAACTCTGTCCTGCTTGCCAATTCTGTCTTCTCTTACGAAAAGGAAAAGGACTTACTTCTTTGCTCACCTCCTGGGATTAAAGAGAACAAACGTGTTAATATGGGTTAATTGCCCTCCCTGGTCTTTTTCGCAGTGAAGTAGTACAGCTGCCCTTTGTCCCTTTTTGTATGTCCCTGCTGTTTTATTTTGGGTGGACAGCTTGCATTCATTTATTCACGACCTCGTTCAGTAGGGTGCTGGATGAGAAGGCCTCTGACTGCAGACTTGAGCGAGGCATGTGCAGGGTGTTGGCCTTGCCTGCTGTGCTGTCTACGCGCAGAGTTGAGACTGCTCTGGGTCCTCCTTCTCACAGCCCCTGGCGAACAGGTGGGGCCGCTTCCACCACCCCCCTCTGCTCCCTCAGGTCCCGGTCCCTGACTCCTGTGGGGGCCCCATTGAATGCACACCTGTAGTTCTGTGGGAGTAGAGATTCAGGAGGTAGAGGGGGCCATCACCCACAAGCCTAGTAACTCATCCCTGATCTGGCACATACGGGGAACTGGAGTTTTTGGTGAACCTGTTACTAAGTGTTCCGTAAGATGAAGAGCCAGACTTATAGGAGAGAAGTAAACTTAATAAATCATAACGCCAGGGTATTTTCTTTGGTTTTGCTTTTTAAATTTAGACAGGGTCTTACTGTGTACCCCAGGCTGGCCCTAAATTTGTGTGTGATCCTCCTGCCCCTGCCTCCCAAGCGAGTACTGGCATACATGACTATGCCCTGCAGATCATAGCTCTTCATGGGCGAAAGAATTCCATCTTCTCCAGAGACTGCCCCGATGTGGTGGTGTTGAGGTGCTCACTGGCCCTGGAAGACACCAGGTGCGGGCCCAGCTTGCTGACCTCTGCGGGCCGGAGAAAAGAGGCCCAGTGATGAGCAGTGTCTGTGTCCCTGAGGCTGTACTTTGGCTTCAAGATGAAACCATCTTAAACACTCCTGGAGGGAGGGAACTGGGAAATTCCATGCCACAGAGGAGTGGCCTTTGTTGGTGTGCGCTGAGGGAAAGGGCTGGTTTTCCTCCTAGGAGTGGGGACAGTCTCTGACAGCAGCTCTCAGTCACTGGCTGTCCCCCTGAGGGAAGGACAGTGAGTTTGTCTGACTGACTTTCTTAATCTGTGCCAGTCACCACCTCCACTTTCCTTGTGACTTTATCTTGCTTGCCTTTGAGTAGTTCGTTAAGGTAAATGTTATCGTCTGGACATGCTTGTCTGATACCATTTCTCAGTGAGTACCTGAGCGAAGGTTGATCTAAAGTAACTTGTTTTTATTTCTTTCTCCTCCCTGACTCAAGGTCCACGGTGCCGTTGCTCCAGGTGATATCCCGGGGCTCTCCCATGTCTTTTGAAGACTCCAGTCGAATCATCCCGCTCTTTTACCTCTTCAGCTCTCTGTTCAGTCATTCGCTGATCTCCATACATGACAACGAATTCTTCGGTGACCCCATAGAAGGTAAGCCTTTTGAGGAGTCAAGTTATGCCCACTTGGTCTGTCCATTTTTTGTTTTTGTTTTTGTTTTGTTTTTCTTCTGGTACTAGGAATTGAACTCACGACCTTGCGCTTCCCAGGCAGGCGCTGTGCCACTGAGCTAAATCCCCAGCCCCACGGTCTGTCCATTTTTGTAGACATGGAAAGATGCCAAGCCTTCACGGCCCCTCACTGTAATTGAGAAATGGAGAAGCAAGACCAGGAAACCTGTGCTCCATGGGTGGCTTGTGCTCAGTTGCAGGTCAGAGACAATCATCCATGATGCCTTTCACGCTGGAGGAGCTGGTCATGCTGTCTCGCTGCCTTCGTGACGCCTGCCTAGGGATCATCAAGCTGGCCTACCCAGAAACAAAGCCAGAGGTTCGGGAAGAGTACAGCGCTGCCTTCCGGAGCATTGGTGCCACAACCAGCTCTGAGATGCAGCAGTGCATTCAGATGGAGCAGAAACGCTGGGTCCAGTTGTTCAAGGTAAACCACGAGTCTGTTTTGTTAACTGACCTGTTTGTTTTGGCTTTATTAATTTCAGAAGAATAGAAATACAGGTTTGTTTGTAGAATTTTGTGTTTTGAGACAGGGTCTCGCTATGCAGTTCAGTCTGGCCTTGAACTCAGTAGGTAGCCCAGGCTGGCCTTGAACTTAAAGGTGATCCTCCTGCCTCAGCCTCACGAGTGCTGGGCTTATAGACATGCACCACCACACCTGGCTCAGGAATAATTTTTAATTTGCAAAACCTTTAAAGAAAAGTCTTCTTTATTTTGTTCTAAATTGTCCTCAGTGATTTATGTCCCATGGTGAAATATAAACAAAAAATTTCAAACATTTCATTTTTATTTTTCACTAAAATATCTTCTTACAGATTTTAATTGCTTCAAAACATTAAACATTAATTGGCCATTAAGTTTTAATCCAAGCTGTATATAAATTATTCTAAAATATGTTTGTTTTTTAACCAGTCAAGAAAAGGATCTATGAGTTGCCATGGCCAGAATGTTGGCAGGAAATCACCATCGTTGACGATAGTAGTTGGGGGGGAAAAAAAAGAGAAAAGGTTCTTGACTTGCCATGAAATTTCTGCAGCAAACACATCTAGTCAGCTAAAACTGCTCATTAAAGGAGTGAGAGCAGAAGAAACGCATTTTCCAAATTGAATGCTAGATTTACAGTCCGCTTAGTACCGGCGACCCCTCGCACACTAATGTTCAGCTCGAGTCATCAGCTGTCCCCTCAGGTCTTTCATCACTGCTTTTGTCAAGCTATCTATTTAATTGAAAGAAGTTAATTGAATGAAAATGATCAACTAAGCTTGTATTAATATTGCTAATGGAACTTTCTTCTTGGCCATGTTTGGAGAAAGATGTCAAGCTAGACTTTAGGAAAGGCCCCTTAATGCTTGCACTTAACCTGATGGGCTAATTAAGGAGTGCTTATTCATCCTACAAGTCCACGAGAGTCTCTCTCCAGCCCATTCTGCCTGATTTTACAACACATTTCACTTAGGAGCACGAGCATTAGCTGCAGTGAAAGTAACTGATAATGTTTTGATTGTGCGAATACAGGACTAATGCATCATTGAATTCATAATTTGTACAGATTGATGTAATACACGTTTGCACAATTTGTTTTAATTACCTATCTGTATTTCTAAGTAAACTTTAAAGGGCACATGTTGAGCCTCTAATATGTCCTTTCTTGAAGATTGGCAATTTTGCACTTTCTTTTAGTTAAAAAGAAGCTGTCATGCTGTATGAGCCTATGTGAGGCTTATAATTCTTGTGTAAGCTTTTCCTAGGTGTGGGTATTACGATGGCATATGTGTTTTCCTGTCAGTACATATTCAGTTAAACTCTGAGGTCCTTGCTAGTAGTGCTTTCCCTTAGGCAGGATACCAGGTTCTGTATACAGTGGCAAATAATTTCATTGTTTTATAGCACCTGTTGAGAGCTCTTTAATTTCATATAATAGGCTTATCTTTAAGACATAGAAATCTCTGAGTTTAATAATGCCATGTAAGATATTTTCCACCCTGGCCCTGTTTTGTTTTGCTTAAGCATTAAATGAAATTTTTGTAGTGAACTTAGGTGCCTCAGAATGATTCATTGCTCTCTTATTGTTGAAGGGCTTAAGAATTAGGTGAAAGTTCACTTTTAAAAAAAACCTTTTGAGCATAGAATAGAATTATTTAAGGGATCCCTGTTAGATGGAAAAATCCACCAAAAACTATTTGATACTATCTGCTACTGTGCTGATCCCCTGAGGTAACAAGCATCAGAACATAGTTCATGAGTAGTCAGCATCTGTTTTTCTTTGAAGGAAAAATGATCTTTATTAGGCAGTAGGGAGAACTTGCTCCAGAGTGGCCCCTTGTCCTGTGAGATGTGCCTGTGTGTTGTTGCGGTCCAGTTAGTTTGCTGTAGCAGGAGGTGCTGCAGGTGTCCTGCTGAGCAGGCAGCCCGCACGCACTCCCAGGGGCTGCTGCAGTAGGGTTCAGTCTGAGTGCTCATATATCACAGTGCCAAGTGGAGATGGAGCCTCTGAGGTAGAACAAACAGAAGGCGAGTGCACTCTGCAGTGCTTTCCCGGCTTGTGTTGCTTCCCACAGAGTTGCTGATGACAGCCCTGACTCCTCCTGTGTTCCATTTCCATTTCCGTCGCTGGCGGCCTCCCGGTTCATTTGTGTGAGAGGCTCTGAGTACTCCCAGAAAAGCGTGCTCACTCTAAGTGGATGGAGTCATTCTTCTCTGTCACTTTGAGAGTGGAGGTCAGTCTCCAAGCCCTGCAGTGACACTACTAAAACAGCTTATGCATTTATCAAATTTGTAAACTCTTGAATTACAGTTTATAGCTGTAACCGCTGTAGCTGCGTGAGGAGACAGGGGCCCTGTGGTGACGAGTCTCTGTGCGCGGTGAGCGACTCAGCAGCAACCCCTGTGAAGGTGTGAGGAGACGAGGCCTGGGGCGCCTCTCCTCCGCGTGTCCTGGCCTGAACAGAAAGAGGGCCGCAAGACTGGGTACTCAGTCTTGGTGTTGGTTTGTATTTTTCTGTTTAAAAAATTTAAAACAATTTTTTGAGGGGCTGGGGATTTAGCTCAGCGGCAAAGCGCCTGCCTGGCAAGTGCAAGGTCGTGAGTTCGGTTCCCGGTACCGGAGAAAAAACAAAAAACAAAACAAAAAAAAAGCAAACAAACAAACAATTTTTTGAAAAAGCAACAGTCATGCCCTGACATGTGCCTTGTTACCAATCGGTATTAAGCTCAGGCAGAGCAGCGCACCCAGCTCCTGTCCTGGTGGAGTGGGGCCAGTTGGTGATTTTTTTTTTTTTTTTTTGGCAACTAATTAAAATGGATGGTTTAAAAAGTAATTCCACAGTGCCTTACTTTTCCTTTATTGGTATATGTTTTCGGTGCACAGTTGTTGCGTTCACCTTGAGGAGCTGTTACATGCAACACTGCTTGATCATTTTGATCCTTCCCCTGACCCAGGGTCTCTCTTTGATTCCTGTTCCCCAACTTCAGAAAGTCTGCCGTTTGGTGTCTGCTCATCTCCTTTATTTTACTCATTTATTTATATTAGGTTTCTCGTACAAAAGAAACCATGTGACATTAACTTTCTGTGTTTGACTTACTTCAGATTACTGTCTCAAGTTTGGTCCATTTTCCTGCAAACGACAATTTCTGTTTTCTTTATCCATCCATCTCTGGATGGCCGCCTAAGCCACACCCACAGTGTAGCTGTTGGAAGTTGCGCTGCTGTCAGCATGGGTGTGCGCGGCCCACTATGAGTGATGTCTTCCATCTCTTTCAGGAGCACATCCAGGAGAGGTAGAGCTGGCTCAAGTGGAGTTTCTATTCTTAGTTTTTTGAGAAGCTCCTCTCTGATTTCTTTAGTGGTTGTACTGGTTTACAAGTGTTCCTCTTTCCTCTCCTCTCTTCACTGGCTTTTATTTTGTGTTTGCTTGATGACAGCCTTTCTGACTGGAGTACTTGGGGATTTCAGAGTTGCCTTGATTTGTATTTCCCTAATGACTAAGGATGATGAACATTGTTTATGTACTTACGGGTCGTTTGTACCTCTTCTTTGAGATTGTGTGTTCACTTCATTTGCCTATTTTTTCCTTGGGTCATTTGTTTGAGATCTTTGTATATTCTAGGAATTAATCCTCTATCAGAAGAACAGTGGGAAGTTTGGTTGTTTTTTTTTTTTTGCCTAGTTTGTAGACTCTGTTGACTCTGTTGTTTCCTTTGTTGTGCAGAAGCTTTTTAATTTGATGTCAACCCATTTGTTGGTTTTTGATATTATTTCTTGTGCTAAATATATGCTAAAGAATGTCTTCTTTCAAACTATACCACTTTTAAAAACAAGGGAAAAAGCACCAAGTGGTGACTAAAGGCTGTTTGGCTATAGTCATCGTCGTTGACCCCCACACCCATGTGTCACCCAAGACCCACCCCTGGGCTGGAGGATCAAAGCTGGGTACCTCTTCCTGCCTCCCAACACAACAAAAAGAGCAAAAGGGCAGGCACTTAGCCTCCCTGGCTGGCAAGTGTCAGACCGCAGGGTGGAGGCGGAGGATGGGGCACTGCCAAACCATCGCACCTTCCAGTCCCTGGGGGACGTCGTCCTCACGTTCTCACCTTCCTCAGGCTTCACTCTTCCTGCTCTTGACTGTGCAGCCAGGGCTCAGGCGGGTTCTCACTTGATATCACTTTCCACATACCCATTTGCCACCTGTCGAGTATGTGTGTACTGCTAAGTATACTTCATGTTGGGTCTCTTAACACGTTCACGGCAGACCATCACTCGCATGTCTTGCTGGTGGGTGGCTTGAACCACCGATGGTACGTGCATGACTGGCCCATTGGGCGGCTTGTACCACTGGGGAATGGATTTAATTGCTTTATGAGTCTTTTCACTAATAAAAAGTTGTTGGGAACATGTCAAAGAATTAGCTGCACTGTTGGGTTTTACTTATATTTTACATCAGAGTCAAGATCAAAGAGGCTTTTATTTTGTTATTACATTATTTTGTTTTCCAGTTGTCTTTCAAAACTTGGACTACATGTACTTTTGGTTGTGATACGATAAACATCAGTCACCTCCATTCACAAATGTCATAATTTAACATGAGTGGCTTTAAATCATCAAATGTGTGTATGAACTCTTTGTGATGATGCTGTATTGCATTACGATATGAGAATTACAAGTTGTGCTTGAGAGCACTTCCACCATTGGTGACATTCCTTGTGATCAGCATGGCCAGTGAGCCCTCAGGTGTGTGGGATCTTGTGAAGACATTTAGAGTCTTTATCTGGACACTTGTCCAGTGGCTTCCTGTGAAGGGTCTGTGTGTTTTTAAGCAATTGTCCACTGACCTTTTTAACACTGAGAAACCTGCTCATGAGTTTCATCTCAGTTTAATGCAAATGGGTCATAATATAGCATGTGTAACAGTTGGGTGCATTTCAGAGTAATCTCCTTAAATAATTCATTAAAATATGTATTTAGCCTAAACTTTCTATTAGCATTGGAAGAACCTGGTGTGGGGGTGACAAGAGTGTTGTTTTGTTTTGTTTTTGTCTTTTTGAGACAGGGTCTCGCTATGCAGTTCAGGCTGACCTTGAGCTCACTTTGTAGCCTAGGCTGGCCTGGAACTCGCAACGATCCTCCTGCCTCAGCCTCCCGAGTGCTGGGGTTACAGGCATGCGCCACCGCACCTGGCTGAGAGTTAACATCAGATAAGTAGAGGGGTATTTATAAACGCTGCTAGCACTGAGTCTGGAGCCAGACCCAGCTGGTTAATAGATGTTGCCTGGATTGCAGTCTCAGCGAGCCTCCTGTGAGGAGCCACGCTGGTTCTCAAGTCTGCCTGTGGGACTCAGCGGAAACCGTGTAGAGGCGCTGCGGCCGGGCTCTGTCCTGGAATGAGGGAATGGGTTGTGTTGGTGGCTCGTGCCTGTGTGGGCATTTGCCATCCCTTCAGATGTCACAGCATGCAGCTCCACCTGAGAACCACAGCATCACTGCACAGAGAGCAAAGCTGGAAGAAAGGTTTATTTAGCTCACAGTTTGTAGAGGTTTCAGTCTGTGATCAGCTGACTCCAAGAGCAGCGAGACAGAGACACGACAGGCCTTGTGCTGTCCCTTACACTGTGTGCAGGCTGCCGCGCGGGGTGGGTATAGCACTCAACACCCTTAATCCCAGCGTTGGACCATGAATCCATCGTAAACTCTAAATTCAGCCACCTCCAAAAAGCCTGCCCCCCATGACTGCATGAGACTTTGGGGGGACATCCACACACAAGCCATAACAGGGCTGAACACAGGGCCTGCCCTGAGCTACACCCCAGCCCTTTCATTATTTTTTGAGACGGACTTGCTAAGTCACTAAGTTGCCTAGACTGGATTCAAACCTGCGGTCCCACTACGTTGGCCCCCAGAGTGCTGTGACTACAAACCTGGCTCAGGCCGATTGCATAAACTCTGACCTCACTTCGCAAAGTGGATTCACCTGTGACATAGGTGCTTTTCCTGAGGTGAGAGTCAGATGTGCTGTGCTCCTCAGCGTTCTGCCCAGCCTCACTGTCAGCCCTGAGTCACTCGGTGTGCTCCCACGGTGACTTCTGTCCTGGCCCTTTCCTCATACGTCTCCTCAACCAGCTCACACCTGTGTGTCTCCTTTCCTGCTCTCTTTCCGGCCCTGCCCTTTAGGATGAGGACCTTCAGTACCAGGACATTCTAGAGACGATGCGTGATTTACTTTTTTATATTTACGGGATGAAATACATGAAGAGATCCTATACTGAAAGTTTTTGTGTTTAGTGCCACAGTAATTTAAAAGAAGAATGTAAGTGATGGCATTAATTGCCTCGTCCATGTTAATATTTGAGCCCATAGAAGAGTAAGTGTCCTCATGGGCGGGGATTGGATGGAGAGGAGTCGGACGAGCGGGGGAGCTGTGTTGGAGTTGGTCTCCACAGCTTCTTGGCATGCACACCGGGACTCTGTGCAGTGGGTCTTCAGTCGGCCCCCAGTGTGTGCTCCCAGCTGGTGTGTAGGAAGGTGAGAGTGTCAGCACTGTAAGTGAATCTAGGCTCCTCAGAGGTGCTGATCTGATCGGCAGTGTATGTGGATCCTGCAGTCAGCTGGAGCCAACTGGAGGCCGTCCTGGTGTCCCCACTGCACAGGGAAGTCAGTTACCGCACGCAGGGGACCAGGGACGTGGAGAGACTGGCACCACATCTACCCTCACCCCGAGCCTCACCCCGAAGGAGGCTGTTTCTGCACAGTTCAGCAAGGAAGATGGTACCACGATGAAGGGATAGGCTTGGTGAGGAGACCTTCGGGGAATTAGAGGTTCACAGGAGAGAGATGGAAGTCATACTTCTTCTCAAAAGATGTGAGGCAGACCCAGAGTGCACTGCTCCCCTTTGTGCTTACTACCGTGCTTCTCAGAAGAGTGTGGAAAGCTGCTAGGGTGGCAGAAGGTGGAGCTGGCCCTCACTGCAACTCGGATTTCCAGGTTTGTGTTTCACAGCATCGACACCAGTTCCCCTGTAGCTTTTCACAGACTTTTAAGTCAACCAGAATTGATGGTGCTGAGGCAGAAGGATCACAAGTTCGAGCCCACTGTGGGCAATGTAGCCAGACTCTATTTGAGAGTCTAAATTTTTTTAAAAAAATTGTTGTTTAAAGATCTGGGGATACAGCTCAGTGCAAAAGTCCTGGGTTCAATCCCCATTATACCAAAACAAAAAGGAAATAAAAGGCCATCACTGTGTGCACATACATGAACTAGTTTTTCTAAATTTGTTGGCTCTGATCTTAAGCTCTTAAGAATGGACCCTTCCTGGGGCTGGGGATTTAGCTCAGTGGCACAGCGCCTGCCTGGCAAGTGCAAGGTCATGAGTTCAATTCCCAGTACCGGAGAAAAAAAAAAACAAAAAAGAATGCACCCCTTCCAGGGCTGCATTGGTGGGAGTCCTGAGTCCCATTTTTTTCTAGGCACACATAGGAGGTGTACCCCATCCCAGCACCATTGTGGTTATGAGCACTTGTGTGACGTGATCCTGTTCTTTCTCCAGGTCATCACCAACCTAGTGAAAATGCTGAAGTCCAGAGACACCAGGAGAAACTTTTGTCCTCCAAATCACTGGCTGTCAGAACAAGAAGACATTAAAGCAGATAAGGTGTTATTGAAAGATTTTTAAATATTTTTTCATTTTAAAAAAAATGTACATACACATGTATGTATATATGTATGTATATTCTGGCGTCTTTTTTTAGGAAGAAAATTAAGCCCTTTAAAAATGTTTAGTTTATCCCTTACTGTATAACTGAACATTAATGGCAGCTTTCTTCTTGCCAGCTCTCAGTCATACAGGGGTGTGCACCAGCCCCATCGACTCACGTGCACGTTCTGAATGTGTGTGTTCGGGCCTCTCAAGAGGCAGACCTTAGCTTTGATGTCATAAAGGAGCAGCCACACACTGTTGCTCAGATCTGCTCTATAGCTGATACACTGTGTAATACATTAAAACAAGCACAGCCCAAACAGGATATCCAGGCTGGTTTGCACGTCACAAAGCCCTGGATCTAAAGCAGATGCAGAAGGACAAAAGTTAGAGGGTAGTGTGAACGAGGACCATGGGTGCTCTCAGGTTTTCTGAAAGTTGGGCCTGGGAAAGGGAGTGGAGGGCTTGGAAGAAACAAAGCTACAGATGGTCACCAGACCTGCAAGATGGAACCATGCCCAAGCGGCAGCTCACCAGTTGTCACACGTATGGCTTCCTTCTGCTCACTGACTAGGCTTGGAACAGTCAGTGCTATGGGGCAGTGGCCCCAGGCTCAGATCCGGTTCCAGGGCTGCCCTGGTCTAGGAAGACTGGCCGAAGGAAGTGGGACTTGACCGCGGGAGAGGCACTTGGGTCTTTTTTATTATTATTATTATTATTTTAAAGAGTAAAAGAAGGATAACATAGTAATAGGGGGGCTTACCAAATTAACAGACAGAGTAATAGGAAATTGTCAATGGTTGTTGTTTTACATACTGTTTTCTACAAGATAATTTCTCAGGAAAACAAATAGACAAATAATAGTGAGCTACAGACAAAAGTGGTAGGTTATTATCAATGGTTGTTATACTGTACTTTCGTATCTTCAAAGCAGTTTCTAAAGAAAATAAATAGAGCTATACATGAGTGACGAATTGAATATTCATTGACTATTCTCAATGGTTGTTGTAGGAAACACATGGTAATAAACATACATCCCTTTACGAAATAGCATAGGAACAATACAAACATTACAGAGTTATGGACAGATTAGTAATACCAGTGGCTGCTATAATACATGGTGGTATCTTCAAAGTGGTTTCTCAGGAAGACAGAGATACTCAAGAAAGATCTAACAAGTAATTACAGCCTAAGGGTTGTGGAAAAATAGTGTATTACCTCCTCACCAGTGACTCCTTTCACTGAGGTGTGACAGCTGGAAGGAAGGCCAGGATTGAAAAGGACTAAGAGACTTGCACCTGTGTCTAGCAGCAGGCTGTTTTCTTTTTCCTCCATAGTCATGATTACCCGGGGCTCCTCCATGGAGATGACAGTCTGGCCGGAGGGAGAAGGCAGAGTATGTCGCAGGCCCCCTCATTCCTGTTAGAGTAACTGGTAGGCTGGGTCTGAGCTCTGGGGCTTCTGCTTCAGAGGGAAGACCGATCTCTGGTGGTCACCTTTGCATTCAGGGCATGGCCCAGGGGCCTCCTTAGGGCAGTTCCTCCTGAGGTAGCCTGGCTTTTAACAGTGGTAGCAGATGAATGCAGTTGTCGAATTCTTCTTGGGGTCCCGAGAATCAGACTTAGGGTCTGTTTCTCTTAGTGCTGCAGCAAAAGCAGCTGCTTTTTCTCAGCCTCTTTGTTTTCTCTCCTTGGCCTCCTCATCATGGCTGTAGAATACTGAGGAGGCTGTTCACTTGGGTCTTGAGAAAGGGACAAGAACCCAAGGGGGCCCCGTCCTGAGGACACTGACTAGTGGGCAATAAAGTAAATTGCAGTGGACGTCCACCGATAGTAAACACAAACAACTTCACCTTGTGCATTTGTAGCACATAGGAGGCCACCTCAGTACTTTGAATACTGTTTTACAAAGAAGTAGGTCGTGAACTTTTTGTGTGCCTTTCCAGGATTGGCCAGATGGTACATGATCTTTCTGTTGTGGGTATTTTCCAGCTCATGACTTGGGAGGGTGTATGGACTAGATCACCCCATCTGTGAGCTCCTCAGTGGGCCTGGTAGCCCAAGCCTGGGCGAGGCCCTGGCAGATGGGGGACATGTTCTTCATGTTAGCATGGTCTGTCTCTGGGTACATGCCTGTGCTTGGGTCGCTGCTGTCTCCACAGTGGTCAGCAGCCCTGGGTCCTGTGAAGAAAGTGCACCACTGTGTTGGGACGGAGGACAAGCAGGGTGAAAGCACCATGAGAGTGAGCACAGCTCAGACTGAACGTGAAAGGCTTGTTTCCTTGTGGGCAGTAACAGAGACCAAGACAGGGGATGCGAGGCGTGGGATCTAAGAGAATGTGTTCTGTGCCCATCTTCCTTGGATGCTCATTTAACCAGGTTAATTGAAAAAACAACTTTATGAGGAAATAGACGTTTGATAATGGTAAAGAGTTGTTAATTTTAAGCATGATACATTTCACTTCCTAACGCAGTTATATTGCTTTGGTGATTTACTGTGCCCAGATACTGTATATCATTAAGACAAATAATTAGTGATTCAGCACAAAAGCGCTAAGGGTCGGCCAGCATGAGTGCGTGGCAGGGCAGCCTGGGCAGGAGAGATGAATGGAAGAGGCGGTGCTATTCAGGCTGGGATGGCAGTGCTGAGCGTATGTCCCCACAGGTCACCCAGCTGTACGTGCCAGCGTCCAGACACGTGTGGAGGTTCCGGCGGATGGGGAGGATCGGCCCGCTGCAGTCCACTCTGGAGGGTGAGTGCCCTGCGCCGCTGTACCCCTGCTTTGACAGGGTTACCTCCCCGTGACGTGCACAGCAGCATTGGCCCTGCAGGGTATGGTTCTGTATTTCTGGGTGAGTGTGCAGTCTTAAACCCACTCTCAGAATCAACCCCACGGAGTAGTTTTGACACACTGACTCCCAGGGCCAGCACCGAGTTCCTTGCTGTCATTCTACCTTTTCCAGAAGGTCTCTGGTGGAATCCTTTGCAGGTTGCCAGTGAGCAGCCCCTCCACCCAGTACAAGGCCTGGGCTGCATGGACCCAGGTTGTCCCTTCTGGGCGTGCAGAACTTCACTGTGTGGGTGTGTCATAGTTTGCTAATGGGTTTGCCTGTGCAAGGACAGTGGGGTCTTCCTTCAGTCTCCAGTGCTGCTGAATTCACCTGCTGCAAGCATACATTTTTTTTTTCCCCCATTTGGATAAATATCAGGAAGTAAAAGTCCTGAGTCCATGTGCCATGTGTGTACTTAACTTTACAAAACAATGAAAACCTGTTAGAGTAGCTGCCCTGTGTGGTACTCTTGACCAGCAATATGAACCAGGCAGTGTTTTGTAGCCTGTTTGTATCAGCCACTTCACAGGCGTGCAGTGATAGCGCGTGGTGGTTTTGATCTGTATTTCCAAGCTGGTGATGCTGAATATTTTTCATACGCTAGTGTTTTTCTTTTTTAAGCAGTGTCAGTTTTTAATCTTCCTAATCTGTGCTTTAAGAATTTACTGAATTCTTCTTAGGTTTTTTTGCATCCTCAAACATACAGAAATAATTCTTGACTGATATTTTCAGTGGCTGGTAGTTAAAAATTTCCTGCTAATTAAACCTCATATAGAATTTCAACGACCAAAATGAATTTGTCTTATAATGATACACAGAGCTTGAACTGAATTTCAAGCCCAGTGGGAGTTTGATAAAGTAATTAGAAAGAGGGAAAAATATATTCATACACCTATGCACTTCTAAAGCCCAGCTAAAGTGTGGTGGCAAACATAACGTTATGCAGGTTCCCTTAGATCCCACTGCTGCTAGATATATTAAAAATGACAGTATCAGGCTGGAACCTGTCTGCCAGCTAGTAGGTATTCAATACATTTACCTTGTTTTTTTGGGGGGGGGTGGTTGTTTTGTTTTGTTTTGTTTTTTTAATCTTTTTGAGACAGGGTCTCGCTATGCAGTTCAGGCTGGCCTTGAGCTCACTTTGTAACCCAGGCTGGTCTTGAACTCACAACAATCCTCCTGCCTCAGCCTCCCAAATGCTGGGATTACAGGTGTGTGCCACCATGCCTGGCTACCTTGTATTTGTTGAATAAATATGCAATACTTCAACCACATGCATTTTGTATCACTTCCACTTACATACAGATGCTAACAGGAGATTTTAGAGTCATCTAGTGAACTGATAGAAATCTTGGAGGTTTTGCCTCCTGTTTGAAGGGTTTGGAACGGCCAAGCCTCAGCTCCCTATGTAGTGTTCCGCTCTCTTGAGGGAATACACCTGTGGAGGACTGGCTCCTCCTAGGCCGGGTCAGCCAAGGCATGTCCCACTGCAGCTCTGGTACTGTCAGAGCTCACTTCACCAGGCAACATCAAAGGATTCGTGGGGCTTGATACAGAGGTCTCCATTGCGGAGCAAGGCTCTGCTAGTGGAGCCCCTGAAGCCCTCGGTCGCACCGTGCCCTGCTGTGGGCAGTGCCTGTGGAGTGACCTCGAAGATGCTAGACTGGGTTGGAGGTGTGTGCATGGAATGAGGGTAGGTAGGGGGATTAGTAGGGTATGGGTGGTCAACACTGATAGTGTACATGCAGAACTTTGCAACAGGCAGTGGAAATGGAAAAGCAGAAATGAACTAATCAGTCCTCACCATGCGTTGCAGTGGGAGTAGAGTCACCGCCGCTGTCTGTGTCTGAGGAGCGGCAGCTCGCCATCCTGACAGAACTGCCCTTTGTGGTCCCCTTTGAGGAGCGCGTGAAGGTAGGGTGTCCTCGGCCTCTGTTCTGACTTGCTGCTCCACCTTTTGAGAGCTTAGCCTGTTCATGTCAAGGAAGAAGCCTCCACTCCCTCTCAGTGGTGCTTTCTTAGTAGGTTGTGGTATTCTCTAGGCCTCACCCTAGCCTTTGTGTCCAGATTGAAAGCATTCTTCTGGGCCTTGCTTGGCTGGCAATGGCTCATGGGGTTGTGGGGAGCTTACCTTTGCAGTGGTGAATTTGTATTGTTAAAATGCAAAATTAGTAAAGGTATGTTTTTATACATTCATGTGAAAGTTACTACTTTGTAAAAATGAAGTGGGTGCATCCGCTTTAACTCCTGATTATGACTAGTGTATACAACTTTGTTTACATACATCTGTTTCCAAATTTTAAAGTGCTTCATATCTTCTAGCTATATTTAGAAAATGTCTGCAAGTTTACAGGTTCTGTTCTCAGGTAATGCCTTCAAGATCGTTTAGCCTGTGCATTCTGCAGGGTGAACAAAAGACAATGGCTTTGGATGCTGTTCGCGTCTCTTCACTGAAAACCACAAACACAGGCATCACAGGACATAATTCCTGAGCTCCCTCTGCTGGACTTTCCACAGCAAAAAAGTTACTTAAATTTCATTATTGAGGAGTTACTCCCTCTGATGTGTGTGCTGCTTTACAGGGCCGTTTGTTCTTCCCTCCACCCCTATGTTTTTAGGAAGATTTATAAATGGAAATATACTATAGCATAGATTTTCAAAATTTATCATAACATGGAGGAAAGCAGCAACATTTGTGATACATAGCCAGATGTGGTGATCTGTGCTTATTCCCAGCTACTTGGGAAGCTAAGGCAGGATCAGTGTGAGTTTGAGGCCAGCCTGCACAACACAGTAGGACCTCAACTCAAAACAAAACAAAAAGAGCGGATACTATTCAGTCATATTCATTATTGCTCATGCTATTCATTCATTGATAAAAATCAATGTTTTCATATCTTGGCTGTTAGAATTTATTTAAGAGTTTATGGAGAGGGGCTGGGGATTTAGCTCAGTGGCATAGCGCCTGCCTGGCAAGAGCAAGGTTGTGAGTTCGATTCCCGGTCCTGGAAAAAACCAAAAAAAAAAAAAAAAAGGAGTTTATAGGGGCTGGGGATTTAGCTCAGTGGCAAAGCGTCTGCCTGGCAAGCACAAGGTCGTGAGTTCGGTTCCCGGTACTAGAGAAAAAAAAAAACAAAAATAAATAAATAAATAAATAAAGAGTTTATGAAGATACAAAGTGAAAACTTACTTAGCGGGTTTCCCCATTAATTGCTTGTGCTGATAACCTTGCAATTTGCTCTGTTTGTTAGATCTTTCAAAGGTTGATTTATGCAGATAAGCAAGAAGTTCAAGGAGATGGTCCATTTCTGGATGGAATTAACGTCACAATAAGAAGAAACTATATTTATGAAGATGCTTATGACAAACTTTCCCCGGAAAACGGTATTGTATAATTCTCTTTAGTGTGTGTCAGTGGCAGGCGGAGGCTAGGCACTCATCTCAGAAAAGGGTGTTAAAAAGCTTGTGTCCAGGGCTGGGGATTTAGCTCAGTGGCACAGCATCTGCCTGGCAAGCACAAGGTTGTGAGTTTGATTTCTGGTACTGGAAAAAAATCCAAAAAAAAAAATGTTTATGTCCATCATCGTGTTCTAGAACAATGATAGCAAACCTTTTAGAGACGCTTTTGCAAACTGCAACCCAAAACCTGCTTATCTCAAAATGGCAACATTGCCATTAATCAATTAATCAACTGAATATTGATTTTAATTTATTAAAAACAACATCTTTCATTGGAAAAGAAAAGCAAATAACATGTGTGCCATAGTTTCACCATCACCATTCTAGAAGGCCTCTTTTTTTTTGTTTTTGTTTTTGTTTTTTTTTTTTTTTGGTTTTTCTCTGGTACCAGGAACCGAACTCATGACCTTGCACTTGCCAGGCAGGCGCTTTGCCACTGAGCTAAATCCCCAGCCCCTTTTTTTTTGTTTTTTGAGACAAGGTCTCATTATATAGTTCCTACTGGCCTGGAATTCAAACTCGTGATCCTCCTGCCTCAGCCTCCTGAGTGCTGGTATTACAGTTGTACACCACTGTGCCCAGCTCTCTAGAATGACTTTTTTAAAAAATAAAGTTAAATGTAAAATCTAAACTGAAAGGAAAGGTAGATCAAATTTGGGGCTGTATGTTATCTATATTCCTAAAATTTGCAGTTATTGCAATAGAGACCTTTAACTTACTGAACTTTTTAAAGGTTAGAAACTGTTCCGCTCTCCCTACTACTCTTGTCTTTAAACCTTAATTTGCTACCTATTTGTGTAAATACCAATTATAAGTCTCATGAAATACACTGTGCAATCCAGATATCTTTATGATTATAATATAAGGTTCAACACAGTAGAAGAGAATTACACTGTAGCAATAATTTGGGTAGCACTTGGAGGTCAGTGATACATGCTTTGTCTTATGTTACAGTTTGATGCTGTTAAAAAATGACCTGTTACTAGCTTACCTTCTAACTGTTTTAACTGCAGAATAGCATGTTCATGGTATACATTGAATCAAAAGCTTTTATCAGACCTTTAGCTAATAGTAAGTTTTTAGATACAGAACAACAGTTTTCCTTTCTTGTGAGGGAAGTAGTTTAATTTTCTTCTAAGAAACCAGGCCCTGCAGTTAGTACTAATTGTTATTGTTCATTGGGAAAGCTAAGGTGGGGATGGAGCAGGTGGTGGACCACTGTTGACTGGAGCTGTAACCCTGCTCAGTTCTGGGATGTTTTTTGGGTGTTATTGGCTTTTGTCATTCACTTGGTGTCCTGACCCTTGTGAACTGAAGTCTTTGCCAAGCTGTGAGCTTGCCACCATGCCGGCTTCTGCATGTCTTGGGTATTGTTTTTCAAATACTGTGGACGTGTGAGGCAAACCAGGCAGACTGACTCCTGTCTACCTGACAGTCTAGCTGGGGACTGTAGGTGAGCATGCCTCCTTTCAGTCACACACCACCTGTGTGAGTACGGTGGTTCTCATGCGACGTTTCTGTAGATTCTGTGCTTCTCTTCCCCTCGGACACCCTGGAGTGGAACCATTTACCCTTGGCACAGTGCGTAGCGTGGATGCACAACAGTTTTGTTGGCTTTGTGTTGAACTCCAGGGAGAAAACACAAGAGGTCAAAACCTTAACTTAGACGTGACTGATGGTCTGTTTGGAGCAGAGTACAGTGTTAAACTGTAAATCTGTTTCATGTATGTGAGTTGTAGGACATTGCCGCACAACTGTAGCAGTCCCTGAATTTCCTAATGAAGTTCCAAGCTTTGAAAATTACTTAAAAGCTTCTAGTGCATGCTAGTAATTGCATCAAGATTGAAGAATTTGGAAAATTCTTGTAATATTTATGTTACAATGGTTAAGGTTTTTCTAAATACTATTTAATTTAGGCCTCGTGAATAAGAGTTTTTAAATCATGTGTTAAACTTGTTTGGTTTTTTTGCTGGGCAAATTAGGGAAATTAAATATCTTGGAACATTTAATTTACTTAAGAGAAATGATCTGAGCTGTTGTGTTGGCTAATCATTTACATATAATCAATTAATGTGATTGTCCCATACATCATCCAGTCATTAGAGTTGGTCCCTGTGGACACTCATTGTCCTGCCGCATTGCAGGAGGAAGCTCTCTGGGCCAGGGTGACCAGTACGTGAGCTGCGCGAGTAGTGCTTAGAGAAGTGGGTAGCTGCCCAGGGTCAGCCTCTCGGGGGGCACCCCCTGTGCTGTGCCCTGCCCCCCCGTTGCAGCAGAGCTGCCTTTGTGTGGCAGTGATGTGGAGAGTGGAGAGCAGTCATCACGTTCCCTCCTGGGAGTGTTAAGAGGCTGCGAGCTGCTGTACGGCCGCTCCCCTGGGCTGTGCCCCGCCAGGCCCTCCACCATGGATGGATGTGGCACACAGCTTCACCATGGATGGATGTGGCACACAGCTTCTGCCCTGTCTGTGGCCGGCTCCACACTCATGCCTCCGCTGGTTAATTGGTTTTGTTTCAAGAAGAAATGGAATAGGCTAAAATCATATTAATATGTTTCTGTGTTTTCTTCTGTTAACATTTTACTGATAATTAGAAATTTGTTATTTATCCTGGACACAAGTAGTGTTAGCATCCTCCAATAATAGATTGGATGCTGAAAGTACTTTTTCCATCTTCTATATTATTATGCGTAGAAGCAAACTTCAGGGAACTGTGGCATCTCAGTTCAGCCATGCACAAGAGCTCCCTCCGAGCACAGCCCTTGGAGGGGCTTCCACTGTGAGCCACAGTTGAACGTTTCCCATAGAGGATATTTTTCACTTTACCATTTTTTATAAAACCTATTCCTCCTAACAACTGGCAATCAGTTTGTGAAATATTTTTTCACAAAAGTACTTTCTTTATTAAAATTGGATGTGAAGCCTGAGTGTGATGGTACACGTCTATAATCCTAGTACTTTGAAAACCTGGTGGGCAACTTAGTGACTTAGTGAGACCCTGTCTCACAATAAAAATTTATAAGGGATAGAGGTATAGCTCACTGTAAAGGCCCCGGGTTCAGTCCCCAGTGTTTGAGAGGTTGGATGTATATGAAGGTAGGAAGTAGCTGGCTGTGGTAGTATACGCTTGTACTCCTCCTGCTCTTGGGTGGCAGAGGCAGGAGGATTACCTCAAATTTGAGACCAACCTGGAGTGCATAGTGAATTCAAGGCTATCCTGAACTATGTCATGGGATTCTGTCTCAACAAAAGTAAGGTTAGGTGCAGTGGCACACACCTGTAATCCCAGCGCTCAGGAGGCTGAGGCAGGAGGATCGTTGTGAGTTCGAGGCCAGC